CACACCTCTTACGGGTGGGAGATGCTCTCACAAATTCTGCTGGATGCTGTTGCCTTCTCCAGAGGTCTGCAGCTTTCCCCAGCCACGTAGGGGAGCACAAGCAGTCCCCACTTTCGCAGAACTGTGTTCCTGGAAACCGCGTTGTAAAGTGGATCATCATAATTGCAAATGGTATTTTCCCATAAGAACAATGTTAAAAATTAGGAGTTATAATTGAAGCCCTGGCATGAAGTAAATCATACCTATGATTAATAATATAATAAAACAAGGATACAACTATAAGCATTTATAATCATGTAAAAAGCTAAGTTGTGTTCTGGATCCTATAAAATGGAAATTAATGTCCTGTATACACTGTTTATACAAAAAAAATCCCAGTGTGTATAACATAAAAGATACAACTGTGCTGTATCATTAATTTGACATTAGAAATGTTATAATAAATGATTAAATATTTAATTTGCAATGTATTGTTATTCCTTTTCCTCTTAATAAATTTCTATATGAAGCAAAATCATTCAAAAATCATTCCATAGATCTAAGAGGGGCTTTTGAACTTTTTTTTCCATGAACCCCTTCTTTGAATGATTTTTAAATATTGAAGAAGATGCTAAATTTCAGTTACAGGTTAGTGAAAACAAAGATGTAGTTTTTTTGTTTTTTCCCCATTCAAGGCCATAGACTCCCTGAAATCTATTCATGGACCTTGGGCTAAGATCTTTTACAGAGCTACCCTTAAGGACTATGGTAGGTGATCAATATACATTTGTAGTCTTTTCTAGTATACCTTCCAAAATTCCTGAGAAGGCAGTATTCCTTTCTCATTATGGTGTTTCCTCATTGAAAAAGCATTTTTAGTAATAAGGGCAGACCTAATGTTTCTTCCTTTTGCCTACTCTACCTTCTCAGCTTGTTCAAAGTGGGTTCTCATCAGAGAAGTGAAAGACCACCAAAAAGCAGTAAGTAACATCCTAAAGAACTTTATACTTCATCGGAACTTAAAAAAAATTAGATCATTAGGGATTACATTTATACAGTATTTTAACAGCTGTAGTATATTTTACTATCTCATTTAACTCAATAATTTTATAAGGTAGGGAAGTTACAAGTTTTATACCATTTTATAGATAAGGAAACTGAGGCTCAGAGAGCTTACATGACTTGTCCAAGGTCAGCCAGCTAATAAGTAGCAGAGTGGAACTCACTCAAACCCAGGCCTTTTGACTCCAAGTTCAGAGCACTTTTCACCAATTACACTGAGTTTAAAAACAAAGCCCACAGAATTGTTAAAACAAGGATTCTAATTAGGCAAGTACCTTTGTGCCAGAGCAAACTGCCAACAAGGGATAAAAGAGTTAAGTAGTAAGATCCTTGCGACTATTAGGTGGTATTGAATGAGTACAGCAGAGATGCAGAAAAAGTGGGAGAGCCTGTGTTAGCAAAAATGAATTTGAGAAACTGAATTATGATATAAGCCAAGAGTGAGTAGTTATTGAAGCAAAGTGTACAGTTCCTGCTGTAAAAACAGATCAGGAGCCTTCTCCTCCAAAGGCTGTTTCATTGATGCTAGAAATCAGTCATTTTATAAGGGTAAGCTTAACCACATCCACGATACAGAAAATCACAGAGCAGGGTCTTTGTGCCCATCTCTCATTTCTTAGTGTGTGTGTGGGGGAGATGTCATAGTGACAATACCATACACAGGTGACTTCTGCTTTTTCTCCAATACACCTTCCAAAATTCTTCAGAAGGCTGTATTCCTTTCTCATGATTACATCCTAACTTTCAAAGGCCTATCAAACCATTTTACTTTTTCGTCAGCTTTGTTCCAAGACACACCAGGACACCTGGATTAAAAACAGGAATCTTTCTCTCTCTCCCCAGCCCCTCCTCTTCCAGCCCATGTTGCACTTACTTCTCATAATTTTTTTTAACATGTACCCTTTGTCCCATTCAGGCCAGTCACCTCCCTGGCATATCCCCAAACCATGCTCATTTCCACTTTTGTCTTTTGCTCATGCTGTTTCCCCAGCCCTGAATACTCTTCTTTTATCCCTCCTACCTTTTCAAATCTTACCATTCTTTAAGGTTCAGGTAAGTCCAACCTCCTCTGACTACTCTAACCCACAATGATTGTTCTTTTTTCAGTATTACATTGTTAGCACTTAATTATCCTCTAATTGTTTCAAGGGTATGAGTTTTATTTCCCCAAGTACTAACATTTTTTGTAACCCCCAAAGCTTTTAGCGCAGCACTGGACACAGTTCACACTCAATGATTATTTGTTGATTGCCTCATTTGTACTAAAAAATGCAGTCTTTTTAAAGGCATTTCAGAATATAATTTTTAAAAATGTATATAATTAAAATGTTTTAATTGTAAAACCTCAAATTCACTTGCTAAATCAAATCACATCACTCACAAATGACTGAAATGAATCTGAATGTGAGCAAAACTCTATCACCCAATTGCTATCGGCATATTCTAAAACCAAAAGTATTATCATTCTTGGCATATCGTAACAGGGTTAGCAGTAGCAGCATCCCTTCAGGCTTCAGAAGCAGGAGGTTTACAAACATATCAACTTCATGGCTTTGTTTATAGCAAACAAATGCATTTGAGAGAAGTCATATCCTGTTGTACTTGGAGGGTTTAAACTGTTCAGTAATGAACATGTGATATGACTGTTTCAGACCTATCCAGTGAAGCTTTGGTTAACAATAACCAGAACTCATTTGATTTGAATTGAGGAAAAGACAATCTGATTTTTAACCCTTACATCATGCTTTTAGTGGAAAGGATAAATACTAAGAAAAACTATTACAGATTTTGTAGAAACAAAAAATGACCATAGCAGGCACATTAAAAGGCACAATTTCTAGGGAAATCTTGGAGACAGTGTGTCCTGATTCCAATCTCCTAAACCTTCCACACATATTGGCACATTCTGAAGTAGTAATATATGTTCAGATCTATAGTCACTGAAGGATCTAATTATACTCTTACTTAACTGAAGCAAGAATGTGTATTTGTACCTTTTAGAAAGATTTCCAACCAGGGCCAAAGGAAAAAAAAGTTAAATAAGCCAAAACATTTAACAATCAAAATACTCCGTTTCGCCAAATGTTCTCATTGACCAATGTTTTCTAGCAATAATGAAATTGGTTTTATAATTATATTTATGCACATATATGTTATATATCTATATCTATATTTGTAATTCTTTTTCATTTGTGGGCCCACTTTCTCTCCAGAATCCAGGTGCTTGGCTGGTTTTCCTATACTTATGTCCAGCACTTCACACATCAAAAGAATCTTTAATGAAAAACAAGGGTAGGAGAAATAATTGAGCTTTGATTGAGGTTTTTTCTAACACTGGCAAAATTAAATACGTTATTTCCTAAGCACTATTCTGCTTTGTATACTGGTACTGTGGATTATTTAAAAACTAAAACAAAACAAAAATACCAAACTACTCTTCTTTGTTTTTACAAGTAATATGCTGGTTTAACCAATAATTTGGAATCCAACACTTCAGTACTTGTAACACATGTGAGGAAGTAGAAAGGGCACCCAAGAAGGTGGGAAGAGCTGGAAAAAACCAACCTGTAATTGAAGATGGAAGATGCTGGTTTAAAACGCACACATTTGTTAATTAAAAAAAAAAGACACAAGCTATTTCATCAGCACAAGAATAGCCTATCCTTCTGTGTAAACTGTCTTTATGAATTGAGGAGTTTCCTTAGCACATGAGGCACAACTATGAATCTGAGAGTGCTGCAGAACCTCTTGCTTTTTATTCTGCCTCATTCCATGGCCTTTTCTAACTCGGTGGGAAGGTTTTATCTTCTCATTCATACCTGATTATCTTAATAAATTACATTTTGATGACATTAGAAAGATTCTTTGTCAAAGACAATTGCTTCAGAAGTGAGTTGGGGGCTGGATGAATAGCTGTTTGATGAAAGTTAAGTCACAGCAGTTTCATCCCATGAGACATTTAAAATGTTACTAGCCAAAGCAGGAGAAAATAAATCACAAGCCACTTACTCTTCAGAATCTTCAAGTTGATCTAATTTAACTGTTTTATTTTGCAACTGCACTGAACAGTATCTTAAAGTTTCCAATTTTTGACTAACATTATTAATGTTAAACAGAGGCACTGTGCATAAGACAGAAGATCTAGTCTCTGATACTAGCTGACCCTGAAAGTCACTTAACCTATCAAGTTCTGGCAACTCCTTAGGACTCACTTAAGAAGCTATAGCCTGGTTGTGATCTCTCCTGGTGTTAGAAGTTCTCTACATTGGAAACCAGTTGTTTCAGGTAGCCGCACAACAATTTTAAGAACACTTTATTAAAGCCAACTACTAAAGTTCTACGAGGCTGCCTCATCATGGTGTACAGAGGGCTCTGGGGTCTCAGAAGCAATGCCAGTGGTGTACAAACTCTGATAAACCTTACCAAAGTAAAATAGCTTCACATGTGGGCTGAGTGATGGACTGTATGTACGTCTGTCATCTAAGAACTAGTTTAGCAAAATTTGGAGAGTATCTTTACTAAACCACTGTGTTTGGGGGCACAGCGACCATGAATACTGTATTCTAATATATGAAAGAAACATGATCTATATTGTTGGAGGGAGTACTCATTATTAATGAAAAAATGAATGACGTAGGTATATGAGAGCCATTTTCCCAGGAACTGAGAATGAAAAGTACTATGTAAAGCAGAAGTATTCACTATATAAAACCAGTCCATTAGCTTCATAGTTTCATCTATGAGGAATGAAACATAGATATGAAAAAGAAATACAAAGAAATTTATATAACAATTACTATGCTGGCAACAGATACTACAAATATTACTGACATCTTTTAAATTAACAACGTTAAATAACAGGTTAATTCTAAAGCTTTCTTTTTATAAAGAAATTAATCTTAATTAAAAATAAATTATAACATTAGAATAAATACATAATAAACATTTATTAAACACTTACAGTAATTCAAAGCACTGTGCCAGGCATCAGGGATACAAAGATGAACTAAGACACAGTCCCTTACCTCAAATAAAGTACAATAATGAATGAGCATAAACATTTTATGAAGACAAATTATGTGATAACTATGGAAACATGAATAAATAAAAATTCTTCATAATTGTCATACAGAAACATTTCATATTACATTTTCATCAAGGGCACAATAGGAAATGCGGCTTGAATAGTAAAAGGTTTGGAACAAAAAGGATTTTCATTCAGATTTGGCTCTGGCAGTTTAATACCAGAGGCAGTTCCAGGCAAAATTTAAAGTTGAGATTAGAATACAACTCATCACCTCATCCTCATATCTCCTTGAACTGGTCTCTAGTTCAATTCCATTGAACTTGTACCATATTTATCAGAATATAGGCTGGACTCAAATAAAGACTGGCTTCTTAAAATGAGATTTTAAAAAAGAATTGGCAAAAATTCAATAACAGTTATACAAAATTATTGTATTAAAATCTTTACTATGAAAGGTTTTTTAAAAAACATTTCCTTCTATTCAAATACAATTATTTATTTACTTTGCTCATTTTGATTTTCCTTCCATCTTTGTCACTTTTATTGAATTCTCTCACTAACAACAGCTTGGTATAGTGGACAGTGTGCGAAGAAGGCCCAGGTTCAAGTCCTGTCCCTCATACATGCTGGCTGTGGGACCCTGGGAAAGAAGGGTCATAGACTTCATCTCAGTCTTCTAGCTGCAGAGGCCAACCTGCATCTAACAGAGGGAGTTCCCAATACTAATGAAATTATAGAACAAGTCTAGATATCTTACTAATAATATGTTCTCACTAAGATATAAACCACACTCAGGTTTTGTCTGATTTTTTGGGAAAGTACAACTTATATGCAGACCAAAGTGGTATTTACTGAAAAATCTCCTAATGTGTTAACATTGTACCTTGTAGGATATGTAAAGGAAGCCTAAGACATGAACTTTGTCCCTCTAGAAAGCATCATGGCTTCATGAATATTACAGAATCCTGCTCAAAACATATCTTATGCTATATACTTGACTACAAAATGGGGAGGAGAGGGCAGCTAAAAGTCACATTAGGAGGTCTAGTTAATTTTAGGGAGATTTAAAAATAATGAATTTAAGCTTTAAAAAGAAAATGAATTCTATAATGACAGGCACTTTTCTTATCATATTTATTATTTTTTTAAAGCCAATAAATTCCCACTGTCATGCAGGGGGGCTTGGGTGTCATGGAATGTGGTAGGCAGGAGAGGGCAGGGAAGGGTATTCAGTTAATCCACCGGCATTCGCTAGATACCAAAAGTATAGGCAGGCAAGGGGTTAAGGACAGAGTAGGATCAATTAATATAGGGAGGAGCAAATCAGTTCCAGTAGAAAAACAAAAGTCCAGAATCCAGGAGATCAGCAAAGGCAGGGAGGAACAAGCAGGTACCATGGGTCCATGTAGATAGGCAAAGTCCAGGAGATCAGCAAAGGCAGGGAAGATCAAGCAGGTACTGTGTGTAGATCCAGGTAGGCAGAGCTCAGGGTCCAGAAGATCAGCAAAAGTGAGGAAGAACAAGGAGATCAACAAGCCCAGTACAAATGAACATTTCAATAATCTCTGATCCTAGGACATGGATTGTTTTGTACTGCCCTGATTTTTTGCCTCTTGCTGAGTTTGAACAAATGTTGATTTTGGCCAGAAAGAGGTTAGGAGCTTACAGGTGAAACCTATTTCTGGGCTTATTTCATATCAAGCAATTCTGGGTTGATTCTAACATATAGAATGTGTGTGCTTGTTGCATAAATGAACCAAAATATGATTGATTTCGGGTTTGAGACTACATTGATGTAATTTATTAAACAATTATAGTGTAATCCAAACCAACCATAAAAACAGCTGAAATTACAGGGCTATTTTGGTTAAGTTGAGATACTTACTTGAGACTTAAAGCTTGGGACAGTGGCAATGCCAACAAGAATCCTTGTAATTCTCTGAAATGATTCCTTGTAGCATCACAGACTCAGCATGCAGGAATCCTTTTCAGTGAGCCAAAGAGGAACCAAGCTCTCTTAAGAGTTACTTCAGAAATACTGTGAAGTCTCACTTGAAGCCCTAGGAGGCAAAGTGAGAATCACTTTATATATGGTAATTGGATAAGCAAAGATTTCCAAATCCTTCAATATCCTTTTGTGGCATCCTGTCCTCAGAAAGCCAGGTCTACGTCTCAACTATGACAATAGAAAGAAGAAAATTCTTGCAAAGTATCATCTTACTGAAAGACTTCATTACTTTAACAGAATACATTAGTGGACACATTTTAATCCACACCAAAGTCTAAGCATTGAAGGCTACCCTGTGAAACATTAAACTATGTGTATTATGTATGTCTCAACTCTTTCCTTATACCGCCCCCCTCCAAGTCATTTGTAAACTGGTTGATACTTGAGGCTCTCTGGCCCTGAAGAGTTTGGGGGTGATTATATAGCGAAGTGAAACTTGATCCTGGATATGAGAAATGACTGGCTACCAGTGGATTTAATTTTTACTACTGATGGAAGAGTATAACTTACTTAGTAGAATTATACCAATGCTTCATGTGTTTTTAATTGACTATGCAGCAGCTGTTTTTAGCAGATTTATCTCAGAGTAAGATATTTAATTTAGAAAGTGTGATCGATATATATGTATGTACATATATATACACACATATACATATAGACACATATGAATGTAATGAAAAAAGATTGTGCTGCATGAAATTCCAAATAAGAAAAATGTGAATTATCTGATGTATCAATATATTATGATTTTAAGGTCCAGACAAATTCATGGATGATGGATCCTAATATAGGTTATAAAGGAAAACCAGGTCATTCAGCATAGCTCCTTTATCTTTGAGATTGATGTCAAGAATGTCCTTCAACGAGATAGTCTGTGGTACTACCATTAAGACTGAATGCTGAGCTATATGGGCTATGGAACTCATGCTGCTTCTATTTTAATACTTTGACAATCCCAGGATCATTCAAAATTTGTTTTAGAAAACACATTATCAAACCACCTTAAATCTCTAGATGTGAAAGCACAGGTTTCTGAACACTGATGATAAAGATTTTCAATTTGAGGGGCAAAAAGTTTTTTATACATTAATTCATTCATTCTTTACAATAACATAGATGAGAAAAATGAAGCTCAGACCTTGTAAAATATCATAGGACCTTGTTAACTACACATGGGTTACAAAAGTCAATCACCTAAGTATCATTTGTAGTTAGATGAAAGGTTCTAAACTTGGGATCTATGAACATGTTTTAAATTATATTTCAAGACAATTGGTTTTCTTTGTAATCCCATATATTCTGCTTTATGCATTTAAAGACACTATTCTGAAGAGTCCAAAAGGTGAAGAACCCATGGGCTAGACAATAGTTCACACGAAGCCTTATGGATTTTACTATACTGCAATTTAAATGATTTAATAACGTGATGTGGCAGCCAAGGACATAATTCAGTCTTGAGGCTGCATTAACATAAGTGCAGCTTCCTGAGCAAGAGACAATAGTCTGCCATAGTCTATTATGGTACATTGCATCCATTTCTGGACAACACATAAAAAGGATATTGAAATGTAGTAATTCGTTCACAATGAACAAACAGGATGGTATGGAGACAGAAAACCATGTTATACCATACTTGGTTTAAGATACTGGGAATGTTTAACCTGGAAAAGTAAAAATTTCATACATGACAACCCTTTAAGTATCTGAAAACAAGATATAGGTTTCAAATAATTAGATGTGTTCTGCTGGATCTAGGAAAACAGAAATTAAAGCACTAGGTGAAACTATACGAGATTTTGGCTGAAAATCAGGAGAAACCGTAACACAATCAAAGCTGTCCAATGAGTTGCCTTTTGTTGGAGGTTAAGTGGAAGCCACATAACTAGATAGTAGCATCTTATGTCTAAAGCCTGCCTTGGATACTTTCTAGGTATGTGACCTTAGACAAATCATTTAACCTCTCTCACCCTAAGTTTGCTCAACTATAAAATGTGAGGTGATGGATTTGATGTTCTGTAAGGTCCTTTCCAGTTGTAAATTAATGATTCTATGAAAGTCTGTGTGTGTGTGTGCGTATGTGTATGAATGTAATAAAAAAGGATTGTGCTACATGAAACTCCAAATAAGAATTCAGAGAACACAGACAAAGACTTGTATATAATGATGCAAAGTGAAAAAAGCAGATCCAGAAAAAAATATATACACTATTAATAGCATAAACAAACAAACAAACAAAAACCACTCAAACACACTTGGAAGCTATGCAACTGTAATGACCAAACTTGGCTGTGGAGAAAAGGAAATGCACTCCACTCCTTTCTCTGGAGAGGTGGGGGGCTATGGCTGGGAATATCACACTGTGATGGCTGGTTTTACTTAACTATTTTCTCTGTTTCAAGTGCAGGCTCACTGGGGGTGGGAGGGATGTTTGGAAATGACTGTGATGTAAAAATACAAGGCATCAATAAAGTACACAAACAACAACAACAAAAAAAATCACTCTTTTGGCTCCTCCAAATCAACCAAGAGATGACTGCACTAAAAACATTAGCTGGATTCCTATGTGAGTCAGACTGCTTTGTTTTAAACTACATACTCTGTTCTATGCTCCTAGCCTTGGGACTGGTCAAAAAAAAAAAAAAGCATTGATGAAAAAATTTATAGAAATCCAGCTCCTGGGAGGAAAAATTTCTAACTTTATGTCTACTAACAGTCAGTTTACTCATGCTGCTCTTTATATGAGAAATGTTTTTCTATTTCCTTCTGCCTAACTCTCATGTCTTTGGTCCAGCTCAACTCCCACCTCTGACATGAGACCTCCCAGTTAATATTCTCTTCTGCAAATTCCTCTTTCAGCAGAGAAATCATAGTATATTAGAAACAATGTTAGACCAAGAGTCAAAAGATCTACATTCTAATTTCAGCTACACCTGGAATTTTAGTCCACATACTAAGATGTCTGACTTCAGCCAAATCACTTAACCTTTCTAGGCCTCAATTTGAGCAAAGTATCTGTCCAATGATGTTTGTGAACTATAAAAAAATTAAGGATTATTATCAATGCATATGGTATCACAACATCTGGCATTTAATTGCGCTCACTTTTCATGTTTATCAGTCTTATTTCTCTAACTGGATCATTAATGCTTTGAGGAACTAATTCTTTTGTAATCAGGGATAACTAGTAGAAAGCTTAGTATGTATGTGTAGGTATTAAACAAAAACTTCTAATTTGAATGAAGTGAGGATTTCACAATTAAAGTTCACTTCTTACTAGAATGCTTGTTTCTGTCCCAGACAATCAAACTAGTATAATTAAAGTTATCCAAAGCTATTATACATTACTTTACCAAATTATGGAATGATGACTTGTCAAAAGCTAATGAATACTGATGGCAGTAAAAGTTTCTGAGTGTCTTGAGATTTCTGAGATTATTTTTCAGAGTGAAGTCACAGATGGCTCATAAGTATAGGATTGGGCTATATTAGACTACACACTAGATAATAAAAACATAGAATGTCCAATAACTATTCCTCTTTATCAAGATGGACAAGGGAGTCAAGAATCTTGTCTCCAGGCTGGAAGGGAGCTGGAATAATACCCTCAAAACGAGCACTACGGATGGAAATTTTCCTATCATGTTCTACACTGAATGTGGCAAAGAATGAATTTCAATTCAAGATTTCCTCACTTTTTGTGTTTTTTGGTAGTACACAAGAATGTTGATCTTGCATAGTATCTTGGCATTTAAGTTACTAGTTAATTATCTTAATCCATGTTTTCCACTTGATTTAAAAATTTCCAATATTTAGTCAAACTTTCTAGCTCTTGAACTAAATTAAACTGGTGGTTAGACTGAATTTCTTCCTTTCATACTTTTAAAACTTAAGAAAACAAAATATTTTATCAGCTCAATCTTACCAAATTTTTCATATCTCCTCAAATTTTTTTTTTTTTTTGGTGAGGCAATTGGGGTTAAGTGACTTGCCCAGAGTCACACAGCTAGTGAGTGTTATGTATCTGAGGCCAGATTTGAGCTCAGGTCCTCCTGAATCCAGGGCTGGTACTCTATCCACTGCGTCACCTAGCTGCCCCTCTCCTCTTAATTTTCAAAGAATGTTAAGAGTTGCAAAGGCTCTTAGGGATTACCTAATCCCGACCTATCATTTCACAAAAGAAATTGAGATTTAGTGAGGTTATATGTCTCTCTCCAAGGTCTCACAGATGACAAATGTCAGAACCCAGGTCCTCTCTTATTCTAGTGTTTCTTTGATTTTTGACTTAAAATAAAAATTCTATGACAACACAGCTGATTTCGTGAATCTTGGGGTTGTTTCACTTTTGATGTAATTTCATTTTATTTATTTATTTTTTGGCTAGGCAATGGGGTTAAATGACTTGTCCAGGGTCACACAGCTAGTAAGTGTTAAGTGTCTTAGGCCAGATTTGAACTCAGGTCCTCCTGACTGCAGGGCCAGTGCTCTATCCACTGCGCCACCTAGCTGCCCCAAACTTTCGATGTAATTTCCAAACACTCTTACACACTTTCTTTCTTTTACTACATCCTTTACCAAGTCCCATTCTGATGTCTCAGAGCTTGTAAACCCTGTGTTCTAAAAGGGTATGATGGTAAAGCAAAAGGCCATGGATCCAATGATGGGTTGTACATCTGTCATCTAAGGACTAATTTCTAAATTTCAAAAAGTTTATTACCAGTGGGTTGGCCACCATGTGATTAGCTTTCAACAAGTATTTAGTAAAATTGCCAAAACTCTGTTTAGACCTAAAACCTCCATGATTAGTGAAAATATTTCAACCAAATTAATGGGTACCACTAAATCACCCATTTTCCATTTTTTCTTCTTTGAAAATGCCTTAGGGTACTGAGTCCACTATTCAATAAGCTTCAATGGTTCCTTATTTCCTCCAGCATCAAGTGTCAAGTCCTCCACTTGTCATTTAAATCCCTTCACAACCTGGCCCCTTCCTCACTTTCCAATCTTCTTACACTTTGTTATACACATTTTACACTTGACTACTGTGGCCCACTT